TCCCCCGCCCTCCCTTCCTTCTCTCCTTCCCTCCCTTCTTCCTTCCTTCCTTCCTTCCTTCCTTCCTTCCTCCCTCCCTCCCTCCCTTCTCTCTTCCCCTCCCTCCCATCCTTCATTTTGAGGCTGTCCTTCCTTCTGAACCCCATTCACAGTGGACATTGATGTGGATGGAGATGCAAAAGAGGCAGACTCACACAAGGGCAACAGGGCCCTGGAAGGGTTTTTTTAAAAAATTTCTTGTTCTGAAACCCTATTCTGTGTTCCTCTGTGTGGTACTCAATGGCCTTGCCCCCGAGGGGAAGCCTGGCTTTTCAGGAGCTTTAGATTTCACCGCCTGGGCACCAGGCAGGGCCTGGCCTCAGCGCTCACAGCCACTGCATCTGCAGATCCTGGGCAGGGGCTCCTTGGGGACCTGCGTCCTCCCTCCCACTCTTGTCAAACTTTAGCACAAGGTTGGGGAGGCCCCAGCTCCCACCTCCCCCAGGGGAAGGGACCAGAGCCAGCCTTTTCTTCTACTGAGGTCTTCCACCTTGACCTAAGGAAGCGGTACCCTTCGAAGCAAATCCTCTCCCACCTGCAGGAAACATATTTTCCCCCAGAGCCCAGCAAGTGTAATCCACGCTTCTTTTGAGAAGTTTCCAGAGTGGCATCTCCAGCCCTCCCCTGTCTGCCCTGGCCCTCTCTGTTCAGCTGGGTTTACTTGTTCCCTGCCCGGCCTCCACCTGAACTACGTTCTCCTTTCCTTCAGTGTGGTGGGTCCGCCAGCGCCAGGCAGCTCTTCATTTCTGAGAAAAGATCTTGCTCTGTCGCCCAGGCTGGAGTGCAATGGCATGATCTCGGCTCACTGAAACCTCCACCTCCTGGGTTCAAGCGATTCCCCCACCTCAGCCTCCCGAGTAGCTGGGACTACAGACGCATGCCATCATTTTTTGTAAAGACAGGGTTTCCACAGGTGGCCCAGGTGGTCTCGACCTTCAGAGCTCAAGTGATCCTCCCGCCTCAGCCTCCCAGAGTGCTGGGATTACAGGCTTGAGCCACCACGCCTGGCCCACCAGGGCCCCTTTTCAGAACTGAAATCTAGTCATGTCCCCTTTGCCTAATATTCTTTAGCGGCCCTTGTCTCTTACAGAATAAATTCGAATTCTCTGACTGCCACCCAGCCTTATAGGCCCTGCCTTAGGACCCTGTGGCTCTCCCTGAGGCTCTGTGGGGTCCTTCTGGGCCTAGCAGTTTAGAGACTCCCTTCTTCTGTGGCTTTGTTGAGCCTGGGCTCTTGTTGGGTGGAAGCCTGTCTACTGCTCCTCCTCCTCCCTCTCCCATGCTTCTGCTTCCTCCAGGTCACCCCTCAGGGCCCACACAGCCCTGTCACTGACTGGTGACATTGCCAATGCCTTGAGGAGTTTTGTTATCAGGCAAATGGGTTCACTGCTCAATGCACAGCAAAGCCAGTGATAACAGTACCAGCTTTTGAGAAAAGAAAGGCTTTATTGCAAAACTGACCAGCAAGGAGGCAGGAGCTGGGTTCAAATCTGTCTCCCCAATTTGAGTCTGGGGCAAGCTTTAAGGGATCAGAGGGCAAGGGAAATGATTTTGGAATGTTGGCTTGGCAGGGTCTGATGGGGGGCGGGCTTCAAATTTGCCCATTTATGGAAAGATTTGTCAAGGCAGATTTGAGCCCTAGTCTCCCAGGCCAATGGACTCCTGCTTCTGAAAGATGTCTGTGTTGGGGTTCCAGTCCCGTCCCGGTCTTCTTGATTCCAAGGGGAGGAGTTGTTGGTTCCGGGTGTGGTTAGAGGCCCAAGCATGTTCCACTGCGCATGCCCAGGCTACATGGCTTGCAGTTTGGGCTCTGTTGTACCTTCAA